TTAGAAAAATTGACCAGATATGGACTTATGTGTAAATGACCTCGAATCTGAATTTTGATGATTCCAATAGCTCCGTATGGTGATTTTGGACTTAGGAGCGTGTCCAAAAAATTATTTGGAGGTCTGTAGTTCATTTAGGCTTGAAATGGCGAAAGTCAAATTTTTGGAGTTTTGGACCGGTAGTGAAAATTTTGATATCGGGGTCGGATTCTGATTCCGAAAGTTGGAGTACGTTCGTAATGTTGATTTTGACTTGTATGCAAAATTTGGGGTCAATCGGATGTGGTTTGGTTGGTTTCGGCATCGGTTGTCGAATTTAGAAGTTTCAAGTTCTTTAAGTTTGAATTGGAGGATGATTCATGATTTTAGCATTGTTTGATGTGATTTAAGGGCTCGGCTAAGTTTGTATGGTATTTTAGGATTGGTTGGTATGTTTGGTTGAGGTCCCGGGGGCCTCGGGTGAGTTTCGGGGTGAGTTTTGAGCAAGTACAGGTTTTTCGGCACTCTAATATTGTTCTGGGGGTCTTTGGAAGTGCGGATCGCACATTTTGGGAGTGCTGAGGCAAAATGGAAGTGCGGACCTCAAGGGAATTGTGCGGCCGCACTCAGGAACTCTCAGATTCGATGGTCCGATTTCGGAAGCTTATATCTTTTGATCCACAAGAAAGTTTGAGATGATTCAAAAACGAAAGTTGTAGTCCTTCGTGTCTAGTTTCCATAAAGATAAAGAAGTCATTATTTGAAAATCTGTAGGGAAATTTATGGCTAAAATACTAAAGCCTGCAGTGCAGTCACCAAGAGAGTGCGGCCGCACACTTTTTGTGCGATCGCAGGAGCTGGGATGTGCGGCCGCACTTGAAATTGTGTGGACCGCACATGGTGACTTCAGAGAAGAGAATATACTATATAACTAAGGCCTAGGGTATTATTTCATTTTTGGGACCTAGAGAGCTCGGTGCGTGATAATTTTTCGTGGGTTTTTCAAGAAATTCATCGAGGTAAGTGATTCTAACTCAGATTTGGTTAACATACATGAATATATCATTTTTTTCATCATCCAATTTGTATTTTGAGATGGAAATTTGGGGGGAAATTTAGAAATTTCATAAAATAAATTTTTGGGATTTGAATGTCGATTCGAAGTCGGATTTGAGTAGAACTAGTATTGTTGGACTCGTAATTGAATGGGTTATCGGATTTTATGAGTTCCGTTGGATTCTGAGATATGGGCCCCACTGGCGATTTTTGAGCTAAATTTCGGATTTTGTTGAAAAAATAGAATTTTCTTATGGAATTAATTCCAATAAATTTTATTGACTAAATCGAATTATTTGTGGCTAGATTCGAAGAGTTTGGAGGCCAATTCACGAGGAAAATACATTGCAGAATAAAAAATTACACGGCTTGAGGTAAGTAACAGTTTTAAATTTTGTCCTGAGGGTATGAAACCCCGAATTATGTGTTATGTGATTGGTTTTGAGGTGACGCACATGCTAGGTGACGGGCGTGGGGACATGCATTGTAGAAATTGTGACTTGGTCAAATTCTATGGAACTGTGTAGTTGAATTATCTGTTGATATCCGTACAATCTCTACGTGATAGGGAAAATTGAGCTCAGACTCGTATTTAAAAAGTCTTGTTTAGACATATGTTGTTATTATTAGTACCCACTGGGGCCATTTCTCTGGTTGAATTATATGTTCAATTTGCAATTTCATACTCAATCTATATTTATTTATTTCATATCATATCTCAGTCTCTGTTGCTATTTATTAAAATATCATATCATAAATTTTGGGCTGATTATGATGATTTCTGAGAACCCGAGAGACTGGAAAGGTTGATGAGTGAGTGAGGCCGAGGGCCTAATTATGAGGATATGTATGGATCGGGCTGCACGCCACAGCATGTTTTTATTGATTTATGCCATGATTGGCTTGATATAGCGCTTGGGTTGAAGGAACCCCTCCGAAGTTTGTACACACCCCCAGTGAGCGCAGGTACCTACTGAGTGCGAGTGCCGAGCGCGAGTGCGAGTGCCGAGCGCGAGTGCCGAGTGATGAGTGTCGAGCGCAAGTGCCGAGTGATGAGTGACTGTGAGGAAAGAGTAACTGTCAGGACAGAGTAACTGTGAGGAAAGAGTGAATGGGAGGACTGAGTGACTGTTATTCTAAGAGGATGCATTAATTTCATTATTTGTTGCATTTCAACTGTCATATATCACTATTTTGGAAATTTTGAAAAAATATTATTTTCTGTTTTGGTCAAACTTAATATGAAAGTTCAGTGAAAATATTAAATGTTGAACATGAGAGCATGACTACTCGTTTATATTGAAAAGTATTGTATTTGAACTTAGCTTAGAAGCTCGTCACTAATTTCAGTTCTTTATTTATTATTGTTACTTACTGAGTTGGTTGTACTCATACTACACCTTGCACTTCGTGTGCAGATCCAGGTGATCCCGGATACAATGGGTATTGATTCTTTCACACAGTCAATTTTTCGGAGATTCAGAGGTAGGCGTCATGTTTCGCAGACCTTGTCTCTCCTTCCCTATCATTTTGTGTATTGTATTTGGTCTCAGATTATTATAGGCCGTATTCTCCAGACTTGTATTATATAGATGCTCATGTACTCAGTGACACCAGATTTTGGGAATTTGTGTATCGATATTTGTGGGATTTTCTCTTAAACTTAATTATGAAGTTTTTCGTATTTAAAAGAAATAATATTTTATTGATGTTGTCAGTTTACCTAATATCGAGATAGGCGTCATCACGACGGGTGAGATTTTGGGTCATGACAACAATATTCTTGATTATCTTGGACAGTTAATTGATTTAAATTAGTCTAGTTAACAATTTATTTTAAGTCTCTGTGGGTTCGACATCCGACTTTCGAGTCACTTTATTACTTGACGTCCACGTATACTTGTGTGTACTTGGGGAATCAACAGTAGCGCAGCTTCAGCCTTCAGGGTTCACGAATACAAAAAATGAACACTGTTGTTGGTGAGAAAGAAGAAAACTCTATATTTGATTTAGTAGGGTATGTGATATTGAACTTAATGATTAGTATTAAATATATAAGCTAATGTCTAATGGATATGGTGTTGGACTTGTTAATATGTGAAAAATAAGTGTCTAATGGATAGAGCTAAATATAAAGAATAAGAAATTCGAAAAGCTCCAAATTCGAAATCCAATCTAAAATTCGGAATTTTAAAAAATTAAATCCGTAATCTAAAAATTTTGGACTTCGAAATTTAGGTTAACTATGTTCAACCCTACCTATAATATAGGTCATGTCCACTCAAAGTCCAATGTGGTTGGGTTAAAAGGATACTTAACAACACCCTATGGCTCGTATGTTAGGGTTTTGTCCTGAATTTCTAATCTATTAAAACTCTTTTTCTTGAAAAAAAAGATAAAAAGACTCCTAAAAGAAATAAATCTCTTTCATGTGTCTTATTCTTTTTTTGGGAGAGAAGTTTTGTACTTCTATAAATTGACGTTTGCTTCTCACAACAAGAACAATAGCCTCCACAATGTAGTTCTTACGAGAAGCATATTTAGGGAAGATTATTCTCTCAAAAAATTTACTCTCTTTTTATATTAGTGATAGATCATATGTAGGTCGATTGACCAAACCATAAAAAAAATTTGTTATGCCTAGTTTAGTATATTTTTATTTGTTGTCTGATTTATTGTCTATCAAGTTTACATTGTTAGTTTTCGCATGCACCATGTTATTTCGATCCCAACACCGTGGTGCGAGAAGAGGAAAAGAAGATTTATCGCAACCTCTCTCGTTTCGTTTGAGTCATCAAGAAGGGACTAAAAAACAAACCAAGAAGGGACTTACCACTGAAACACAAAGTAAAAACTCTGATGTGGCAATGACGCAATATTTTCTAAGAAATTGACGTATTATTGTTCGTTAATTTTAGTAATACAGAAAATAATTTTGTAATCTTATTGATACAACAACAAATAAAGTTCAACCATAGTTATCACCTCCTTAAAATCTAAGAGGGACGAATGAGCCTTTTAACCGAGAAAACAGATAAGGAGGTTGGTGGAACCAAGCATGGTCCATGAGATGATTCTTCTTAATTTTGGAGCACGCATTGCTGTGCTAAGCACGTTTTGGAGGACCCCTTTTTGATACTTCAATGATTGACTCTGTGTTCTACGTGTCGGACCTTAGTAATTAGTTACCCCACCTAGCAACTACTGGTAACCAGAATTCAGCTAAAACAAATTAACTACTATTAGTAGCAAAATGTTACCTACTTCCTTACCCTTCTTTGCTATTCTGGTGTCTTCTTTAACACGATATTCAGTAATATAATCTTTCTCAAATATGTGTTGGTTGTTTATTATACTACTAGTATTTTATACTGCTGCTACTGAAAATCCAGTGCAGACTTAGGTTTCGTATCCAATACTAGTAATAATAATATTATCAGAAGAGCGGAGCTAGAGTGTTGGGAGCGGAATCGGACGAATCCAATAACTTTGGTTCGAATTCTGTATTTATCTTACAAATCCACTTAATATGTATAGATTATTGATTTAAAATTTAGTAACTTAAAACAATTAGAATTCTCAGTTCATAAGTTTGAAATCCCGATTCCGATATTATGTATGTGTGTACACCATTTCGGATAGAGAAAAACGAAAAAGAGGTGATTTGGTTACATGGAGATTAGAAAAAGTGAATACAAAAATGCCACACCCGGAACTTATAATCAACTACTCCATATAAAGTAAATTCTGAATCACCTTTAGCACTGTAGTAAAAGCTTTCCTATTGTGAAGTGGATTCAAACTAAATAAATAAACTACCCAAAAGAATTGTTTTAACTCTATTTGTAAGGTATAATTTTCCTGGTATTTAATTTAACTTTTTTAGTTATATGTGGCTCCGCCACTGATTGTGATTGTAGTTGTGGTCCTCAGTCCTCACAAGCCTTTTTCACCTTTTGTCGCATGCCCATTCTATATTCATTACGTACTCTTTAGCAAACTTCATCTCTCCTCTTTGAGCTTACTGCAATCTTCGTATTAAAGAAAAGCATGGCAACCCATATCCATGATATGCCATTGAAGAACACAGCAGAAAACAATGAGTTTGATGAAGAGGAAGAAACAGAGGAGGAAGAAGAGGAGAATGTTGGAGTAGAGCTAATTGAGGAGAGTCAGTTGAAGAGGAAAAGATTGAATCTTGAAAAGACAAAAAGGTCAAATAGTGAGAGTTGTCAAGTGGAGAAATGTAAAGTTGATTTGAGTGGTGCAAAGAAGTACTACAAAAGGCACAAAGTTTGCCAAGTTCATGCCAAGGCTCCAATTGTTGTGGTTGCCGCTCTAAGGCAGAGGTTCTGCCAACAATGCAGCAGGTACCTCCTTCTAAACAGCTCTATCTCATCTCTATATTTTAGCCAATTTGGACCGTCGTCTCTCCTAATCCGAATTTTGCTTCCACTCATGCCATTTTCACGGCTTAATCACTCGATGATGCTAAGTCTAAACTATGTCCCATAAAATTTCTCTAAGTAGCCACCTCTTCTTCTTCTTTTTGTGGTTACATTGGAAAATCCTAAATTAGTACTCTAGTAATATTTTTCATAAGTTACATAGCTTAAGTAGATATTTCTGGTACTGAGGTAAAATACGAAAACTAGCCTTAAGATTTTAGTTGCTGATCACCTAGGATTAAAGTCTAATACTACCACGCTACAACTTTGTAATCAAAACACTTGAGAAAGCCATGACATTTAGAGTCTGTTTAGAAAGCCACCAGGTAATTGGAATTGATGTAATTACTAGAGTAGTAATTACACAGCCTAGTAATAACACAGTTGTGTAATTACGACGACCTGTTTGTTTGTCATAGTGTAATTACAAATTACTGTTTGGTTGCACAAGTGTAATTACACAATTAAATTTAAATTTTAATGAATTTATTATCAAAAGTTAAAAATTAATATAATAAATATATGCCTATAAATTTTTATAAATATAAATGATATTATATTTGGTATTTAAGATGTATATTTTTTCGTGAATATACATTAATTAATAATCATATATTTATCTAATATTGTAAAAATAATATATATATATATATATATATATATATATCAAATTAATAATATTTAGCTTAGATACTTACAAAAACTAAAAATATACGTTTTGTACGAACATCATGGAATTCATGCTTGATAAAATAAATTAATATTTATAAATATAATTTCATAACATTATTCAAATGTTTGACAAAACTAATCTATCAATTCTAACAAAAAAATAAACAACATGCAATGTGAATCAATACTACTAAAACAAGTAAACTGGAACCATGAATATAACATAATTTCAAAATTCAAAAAAAAAAAAATTAGTTTAACATATGTCATATTCCAACGTAATAATAGTAAGTTCCACTACAACTTAAGATTAGGAAACATAATAAGTTTATAACCATATTCAACAACGAAATTTTACTTTAATTGCATCACTCATTATATGTCAGGTTTGTTAATGACTCATTATTTCTAATATTAGGAAGTGTAGTTTCAAAAAAATAGAATAATAAAATATAGGCAACTACATGGAATCACAAGAAGTAAAGGTAGAGAAATAAAAGATAAATAATATATAAAGAAAAATATATTTTAAAATTTCAAAAGAAATTAAAAAGTAAAAATAAAATTAAAAAATTAAAATAATAGAAATAAAAAGTTATAAAAAATATTTTTTTAAAAAAACAAAAAGGAAAGAAACTAAAAAGCAACCTTGTAATTACAGAGTGTAATTACCACCAATTATCACCTCCCCCTTGAGAATTGGAGAGTATAATTAGACTCATCCAATTTCACTCAATTCCATGCTGACCAAGTAATTACTTGTCCAAACAAACATGTCAAACTGTGTAATTATATCCAATTACACTTAAATCTATTTCCAATGTGACTTTCCAAACATGCTCTTATGAAATTCACGCAGAGACAGCACGGCATAAAACTTATAACCCGTGGCTAAAGTTGGTAGGAGTTGAAGCCTATTAAATAAGCTGCTTTGTTAACTCAAGGGACATCAAAAAAGCTTCCAAGCAATAAATTCTATTTTTTTTTTATTTATGATAAAAGTTAATATCACATTGTGTCTAACTCAACCCCAAAAATTAACTGAATAACTAAAAATTGTCTCAAACCATATAAGGAGATAAATAACTCCCACAACCCATGTCGGACTTCTAACTCCTCCACACATCTAAGACTAAACATGTAGAGCGTGGACAATATAATATTGAAGCCCAACATTAGAGAAACAAAAAATTCTGATAGATCTAGCTTCTTTACCATGTAAAGAAATGAATATTGTTCCTAATTAACATCAAAAGCCAACTCATTCCCTAAGCTAATGTGGTCCTTGACGTGGGCAAGCTTTCTTTTCATTTCTAAGCTATTCAGTATAATAACTTATCCTCTTTTTCAGGTCTAATCTGCTTGTTTCAGAAAATTTTATCCCAATCTTGAGAATCTATAGTAGTTTTCCACTTAGAATTATTACAGTTTTTCTCCATATTTGAGCGTTCCAATATATTTCTTGTCAAACAACAGATATTGTTGCTGGCAGTGTCGTATCAATTTTCCACTCCCACAAGGCAAATTTCCCTTCATGCGCCTCCCTGGCCCTTGTTTTTCACTTGCTATCAACAACTCCTTTGCTTTACTAATCAATATAGTATTACATTGAATTTTGAAGTTAAAATGAGGGAAAGTATAACATAACTCAGAGAATACTAATCGGCAATCGCTTAAAGAAAGCCAAAAAGGTCTGGGAAACTAGGCATGTTATAATCCATTGTACACGTCTTAATACCAGGATTCGTTTCCTTTGGCAAAACACCCTGCCCTATCTAACGAGAAAGTACAGTATAGTCTTTGCGTGTCGTTATACGTGTAAAGACTGGGGTCTCAACTCTGCTTTCTCCCTGTACATTAGGGTTTCCAGAGAATATATACTTTACTCGAGCATGCACTAACAATGAAACTTCATATTTCCCTGTTCTACCCATTCAGGTTCCATGAGGTCTCAGAATTTGATGGCACTAAAAGGAGTTGTCGCCGGCGTTTAGCTGGACACAATGAGCGGCGTCGGAAAATCCCACTGTCCATTAAGCTGGAAGATAACCAATGCAGGCAGATTAATGGGGAAGACAGACCACAGATAACCTTGACAAACAGAAATGCCTCCTTCAAAAACTATCACATCCTCTAGATGAATGCTTACTCTCTTCTGTCAACCCGTAGCATCTTTCGTATCCCTTTCTGTTGTTAACTTATAGTCAGACCTAAATGTAAACACTAGATGTTTGTTCAGTTATTGCTACAACTACGCTTTGAACTCTCATGGTAAAATTCCAAAGCTTGTATGGCACAACATTAGTGAATTACGCCTTCACGGCTTGTAAGGAAACTTCCTTGCATGCATTGTCAAGCAAATAATGATGGTAGCACAAGGATTAACCACTTTATTTGCAGGATTCACACAATATACTACACCGGAAAAGCAACGAGATCTTAGCAACAACATTCCCTTTATTTGCAATTTGCAAACAGTGCCAAGTTTTGTTTATACACTACCATAACCATTGGTGATTAAAGAATTTTACAAGACAAAAGCAAGAACTATTAGATGTTTACATTTTCTCAGTCGCACAGAAATTGACTTGGTTTCCGCTGTGATCCAAAGTTTTAATTCGCACACGTTCCTTCAGTTCCCAAGTACACACAAGCCAAAATCATTGGAACCTTACAACCACGCAGGATATGTCATCTGTACTTCCCTTTGCAAGGGCTTGTTCGTTAAGGTGCTTCGCAGCTGACCGTGCATCCTTTATATTCTTTATGCAATCCGCAGCTTCTTGGTTTGACAGTACCTGACAATTTAAATAGAAGTTACAAGATGTTTACAATGACAATTCACGAAACCATCCGAACCAGAGTATCTCATGACGCATTAATCAGCATAACAAAACCACCTATATTTCAGTCTTTTATAACTAGAGAAGGCTACAGCAACAAAAATTATGTCCTGCTAATATTTTTCACAAAGATTGCATACATAAGCTGTATCAAAATGGATCTTATATACGAGCAAGCCAAGCACTGTACTCCTAATCTCGAAGAGAGTATTGTATTTCTTCTGTCTCTACTCCTATTTTGAACCTCTTAACATGTTCGGACAACGTACAATAGAATTCAAATACTGAACGCAATAAACAAGTGGTATTTCTCTGGAAATGGAAGTAGCTAACCTTCCATACGCCATCACTAGCCAAGATGAGAAACTCTGTATCGTCATCAATGAGCTCTACCACCACATCCGGCTCTGAACTAAGATGCATCTTCAAGCTCTTGTCACCAAATGCCCTTGCTACTGCTAACTGCCCATCAACCCGAGGCACATCACCTGAAGAGAAATACAACATAAAAGAGAGGCGCTTTGTTTTAATAAAAATCAGAAAATCCAAAACTCAAGCACAAAAGAAAGAAGCACGAGCACTCATGCCCCTGCTTCCATCTCGAATTCTGGTCATCAAACAAAGCCATGGTCCTGACTCCTGAGCCACTTATTTGAGAACTTGAAAGGTCAACCAGAAAAGAATGGTCATCAAAATATGCCAATGCTATGTACTAGACCTGATATCGCTTTTGCCCTTGGAGTAGTAAGCAGATTTCAGGCAAACCCTACATTAACTCCACTAAAATGACAATATCAATATGGTTGAAAAAGCTTTCACATTTGCATCACCAACTTAATGTCAGAAACAAATCGGATTCACAAGCAGATTTCAAATTCTTTACATCCAAAGCTACCTGCAGAGCTTTGTGATCAAAGAAGTCTATAGACATAAATCTTAGCCTAATAAATACATAAATTAACTCTAATAAATGAAAAAGTCATTGGAAAACTAAGCCAGCTTCCCTCCATGCATAAAAGAAGATACCAACGAGTAATGATTGAATTCGGCCAGACTATATAACAAAATAACCAAACTCTATGATATATTTACAGATTACAGATTCTCACCTGGAAAATTGGAAACAAAACCACCTCTATCCTCAATGATCTTCCTCTCTCTGTCAGGCTCATGGTCAATGGACAGCTGCTTGGCTACTCCATTCTTGAAAATGACAGCACGAGAATCTCCCACATTAGCTACAACTAGTTTCTGACCATTAATCAATATGGCTGTAACTGCAGTGGACCCTCCTTTACCCAAATCAGTAGCCTTATCCAAAATAGTGGAATCTGTTATGCGGTATGCTCTCCTGATTGCAGACTCCGGTTCAACCCAGAAGTTAGGCTACATACCGCAACAGAAGATATGATGAGAGTAATGGAATTCAAATAAAGAACAAAGACACACTATACTAAAGGGCAGCCCGGTGCACTAAGCTCCCGCTATGCGCGGGGTCCGGAGAAGGGCCGAACCACAAGGTTACTGATGCAAAAAAATACAATGCATGCTCTTTTCCTTCTCTATATTGAGTTATTGACCTACATTGGAGAGGGAAGCTGGGAAAGGAAGCAGATAATAAGAAGGAATAAGGGTTAACAGACTTCACCCTCTTTAACTTTCCAATTAATTGAAGACTGAACTGACTACACAAAATACACGTCAGGCATTCAAACAGTTACATGAAAGAATTACCTCGTTCAGGATATTGTTGAATAAGTGAGATCGGAGGTAATCAGGAATCTCATGGCTTAAATGGCCATCAAATATTGCAAATAGTCCAAGTTCATTATCGTCAACTTGCTTAAATTGTGCAAAAACATAGTCTTCCATGGTGTGATGCGATTTTCCCTCAACCATGTGATACCCATGGGTTATGTGCTTTGACATTTTACTCTTACCTCTTCCGGTATCAGATGAACTTAAACCAACCTTTTCCTGCAGAAGGAAAAAACCGTGTCACAACTGCAGATGTACACATCAGGCAATTCATGATAAAACATGGAAAACTCCATCACAGTGGAGAAATTTCTCCATAAACTGAGATATACTGATTAGGCACGACCACAATCGGACTATCATATATAGGCAATGCTACTTAGGTTAAAAGAGTAAAATAGCTTGAAGAAAGAGCAAGAAATTCGTACTGAAACTATTCTGTACCCCTCTTTTACCATCATAAAAAATTTCTCCCAACCTTGCCCAAGCTTTAAGTTCTCGTGATGAGATCTAAAGTTTGTCATCTCCCATAATATTCAACATTCCATCATCACTATACAGCTGAGCAGGGGGCATAAGCTTCTTTTTCCCCGAGTATATTAACACCACAGCGCTTCCCAATACAACGACTCCCATCTAGAGAGGGCCGTTTAAAATTTTAAGAGGCAAATGCCAAATTGTGACACTTCGTAGCCAACTAGGTCATCTTAAAATTGTGACACTTAGTAGCCACCTAGGTCATCTGCTCAGTTATTTGATTTATAGGAAGCCACACACAGTTTCGGTAGCATGAAGAATCACATTCAGACAGGACCCCTTTTTTTTTTAATAAGGATGTTCTGACAGGACATTGCACCGTAAGACAATTGCGAGACAGTCACACAACCATACCAAAGACGTCTCGCCGCAGTCTCCTCTAAGAAAAGGCACCTCAATCATAGTCCTAAGACAGATGCTGCCTCGTCGTCCAGCAAAAGCTATGGTCTTTATTTAATAAGGTTCAGCTGATTCCGATGATACATCATTCACATAACGCTCACTGAAGCAGTCAAACTATGATGGGTCATTGCCTTCATAAAAGTTTTATTGACCTTGATAGACTGCCTTAAGCGGCTTAATTTAACTTTCCAAATATGTATCATTAAGTAAACTCATCAACATTATAATGTGACATTAAGTAAACTCATCAACACTATATCATTGATTGAAACACCATAAGATGGATCACCAAGTTCAAAATCCTCACTCTGATTTAGGCTTTGATATGAAATAATTGCAATATGTTAACAACTAACTTTGTGGACAACACCAAGCATATAAGCAAACATATACTGTAAAAAGTAGGCAGAGAATGGACTATTCAATGGTTTCTGTCTCTTTTTTCAGAAGAGGGCTGATTGAAAAAGTTGTTTTGAAGAGAACAGCCACAATACAAGTAAACTATCAACTTAATTCAAGCGAATATCATATACTCCCTATAGTATCCACATTCAGTTTATCAAAAAATAAAAAAGTTAAAAGACTGGATTCTTAGCTTTTCAATGTTCTGAGAGAACAAAAGATCCAGCCAATGCTAATGTTTATTTGGATGGATCATAGTTCTCCTTTCTCCCATTCCATCTGTTTATGATCGAATTTAATTTCCTATCCTAATCATATTTTCCCTTCCATCTCAAACACATACATTTTGCCTTCACATTCCAGACTAAGCACAAAGAGTTCATTGTAATAAATAAGAATACAACTTACTGTTAAAGCTTAAGTCAAATCGTTTTACAATTACAAGTATCTCTAACTCTAATTGAATATCACTCAGATCAATCAACATGTTATCCTAGTCCTCTTATTGATCTTTCGAATCAATCAAAATATTATCATTGTCCTCTAATAATCAAAACAATTACCAAAATTCAAAAGCACGCAGCCATTCTAAGTATTTCCATATCCAAGAATAGACAGAGATCCTTAGTTCTAAAGAGATGTAATTATAATCATACCAAGACTAGTAATATACTGAATTAAGATCGAACAATTAAGATGGTGAATAATATAGAGAGATCGGGGTTTGAATTATGTTTAATCTAAAATTATACGCACCTTTATTTTGTGAATGATTTCTCTGCCAGTCATGGTGCAAAATTTAGCCGAACAAATACGTATTTAGTATTATAGTAATGGGAGTAGAAAAAGTGGAATGCGTAAGAGGAAAAGAAAGAAACAAATCAAGAAAAAGCTGAGAAGAAGAAGTAAGAGCGAGAAGAGCAGAGGCAAAGTGACAATAGAAAGACAAGTGTAGAGGAAAAACGATGACAAGGTTCCTTTGATTGACACGTACCCTATTTTCCATATCTTACTGGCTACGGTTTTGCTGACCGTTCGCGCCCACCCTTTGCTCTTTCTTTCTTCTTTTCCTTTTTCTCTTTTCCAAGGTGGGGTTCATAAAAATTCGAAAACGATCAATCCATTTTGAATTTTAAAACCGATCAAATTAGATTTGATTTTATTTTTAATAAAAAAAAATTAAAAAAATCAAACTAAATCGATTATAAAAATAGTTATTTAAAATTTATTTTTTTCACTTATATATATATATATATATTTATATATAAAATTTCTAAAATTTAATGGTACATGTTAATCGTTTGCACTTTTAATCTAATTCTTTACA